TTGTTAGAAAATTTTTATTCAAAGAAAAGCTCGTCATTTTGAAAATAATCTTGTACGCGAACAATTTTTCTCAGCGTCGCGCGCAATCGGTCGCAAAACCCCGGAAAAATCCATGGATTTTGATCGCTATATGTGTTTGCACAGAGTACATAATACGCCAGTATACACAACGGGTATATCCACAGTGCAACTGTGCATTTCCTTCCGTGTTCTCGTAAAGGAGATCCTCGAAGGATTCGCCGCCGCGGCTCCTCGCGGGGCTCCCATATTTCACGTTCAAAAAGCACGATGGGATTTGAGGCCGGCCAACGTATGCGCGCGATAAGTGTATATAGCGGCCGGATAGTCATATATAACAGGGGCGAGGCAGACGTTAGACTTAGGGGGATGAACGTGCCCGTTGCAGGCTACAAATCTACGGTGAGCCTGTGGCAACGCCGAAGCTCGCGAATATCGTGTGCCACGCGCGTAATACCTGCGGGAAAGAGGCTTGGCTACGTACGCGCGAGCAACCCCGCGCTCAGCATCCCTCCGCTCCGTTCACATCTCAGCGACACGTAACGCGCTGAGATCTGGGGCTGCCTGCGTACGCGCTGTACTTAGGGGTGATTTAATGCACCGTTGCGTCGCCGACGCATTACGCTGGCTGCTGTCGTCTCTGCGAAAACTTAACGAAAGTTTCGGCAGATAGCTACGGGTCGCTGTTGAAAGTGGAATTCAGAATAAAGCCGCTAACAAAGCATAATACATTGTAACACGGGAATAAAGAGGATTTCGTTCGAATACTAAGCGGTTTTGAGTAACGATATCTTTTGTGAATTTTGATTGAAGAATTGCCATTTTTCGAATAAAAGTTATGCTACATAAGGTATTCAGCAAAAAACCATTCAGCATTTATATGATAGTAGATAGTATATACATCATCCTGAGTAAAAAAGCCTTAGTAAAAACAGTAGTTGATCGGAAGCTCAACCGTTTCTGAGATATAAACAGTTTTCTATGGTATCATAACTGACTATTGGCTTCTACGTGTCGTATGCGACGTAAAGATTTACCTCAGTGTTTATAAACCGCATTCTCAATATTCTGATTCAATTTATATATACACTTTATAGTGAAAAATATAGCGGAATAAGAAATATGAATTAAATATATTAAGTAGATAATATTATTCTAATAATTATATGTATAATAATATAAATTTTATATGGATGAACGTATACTGATTGCGGCTAGCAGGAAATATTCACTCTGATCTGACTTTACAAAAATAAATGTTGAAGGTTTCGCCGTGTAAGAATAAAGCTCCTGAAAGGATTTTGTAAGATGACGAAATTCCTCAACGCGCAAGGAAGAACGGTATCTTGCTCGAAGTGGAAGCAATATAAGCACGTACAGTGTCAGTACAAAGAAGCTATTGGTAAAGCTAAGAGACGAAATTTTCAGAGAAGACCGTCGAAACGGCAAGACTCTGTCAGATCACTTCAAAATCAACGAATACGATGATAGAACGCATTCTGTATTTCCCACGAGAGAATATATATATATCTTCTAAGAAGAAAGCCATGAATCATTTTACGAATCGTATTTTACTTCCTAAAACAAATAAACCAAATTCGTGAAAATTGTTGAAAAATGTAGAAAAAAGTATTCGCATGTTTAAATTAAAGTAGTGCACATAAATGATTTGCAAAAGACATTAAAAAAATATCTGCGATATTGATTATTTTTCTAATACAAAAATATATCAATCAATTGTGGAATAAGTTTATCAAACTAGCGAGAATGTATGAGAGAAATTAAAAAGTTTCATAATATTGTAAAAATTAATATATATATTTAAAAATTAATGTATATATTTAAAAATAATATAAAGAAGCACCTGTTTTAAAATGTTATTCTGTTCACAAAATTTCAAACAATGAATTTCCAACTTGTTTAAACTTTAATCTATTGAAAACGTTCCGCAATTCATCTACATGTTGTAGATAATGAAAAGAAAACAAGCTATACACTTCTGTTTTTGCAAACTATTCCACTTCTTAAATTCAACGCGGTAGCCGTTTACATTTTTAAAAATTTCAATATAAAAATCTGGAAGCCTATGTACACACATACCAAAATAAAATGATACAAGATATACGAATATTTATAATTAACACAATTTATAATTAACAAAAATTTACATTATTGTTTTACTTATGTATGTACTTTATTATAATATAAATAAGATCTAAAATAATAGATATTAAATAAATTATACAGTATGTGTGCATACACATTTACGCTTTAATTATTTATATCGCTCCATTATATTTTACTTCCGTTATATTGTCCTTCCCTCTATTTATACCTCATTAATACACAACATGTAATTAAATATGGAAAGCGATCCATATTTAGGAATCAAAAAATACAAGTTTAAATGTTACAAAATAATTGTGTAATTAATAATTAAATACAGCTAATAAAGCAGGAATCGGCTGATAATTAATGTAGCAATTTTAACTTTTATTCTTTGTATCTTATATTGCAATCGTATTTTTAAGAACAAAGTCACTATATAACAAAGTTGCTGGGAGCATATAGAAAGATATGAAGATATGAAAAAAATAAGAAAAATTAAAGAAAAAAAGTATGAACTTTTGATAAACTTATATACAATAGAAATGTCAGAAATGTGACAATCGATTTTTTATTTTATAATTATTCCAAATTGCAAGATCATATTAATGTATAAAAATATCGTCAAATATTTGATTACGTTAATGCTATTTAACAGATTTCAGATAAAAAAAAAGATTTTTTTATCAACGAAAGATACTTCTTGTGGTTAAAAATAAAAAATGACATGAATATATTATTTTTCTTATTATCGTATTTTATTAATAATATTATCTTTTAATTTTTCAATACTATATAATTTATCTTAAAGAACGGTTTTTATTTAGAATTTTTAAATAAATACATGCAAGAGAAGGTATGAAAAATTTAGGATATTGATCCGCATATTTTCAATTTCTTTCTGTAATATATATTATTTCATTAAAATTAAATGTATCAAAGATAATATCTTTTACAATTTAAATGTGCCCAATAGACACGCCATTTACACATAGAAATTTCAAACATGTTTGTAAAACGACTTCATTGAAGCAAGGTATCGTTTGCTTTGCCAGAGTATTGATTTACCGTTGCACTTTGGCGAACATACGACGCGCGCATGTGCCTCGTAATCAGCAAATTATAACGTTCAACATATGAAACTGCACATTATACATCATGCAAGTAAAAAGTTTCTCGAGCAAATAGATAGAATATATTTTTATCAAATTACATATCAAACTTATATTTTCTCACAGCACTATATTAATATTACAATATTAATATTACAATATTAATGTTGTTATTTACAATCTATGTTATTATTATTTGTAAGTTGAATGTATTTTTGTATCATCATATGAGCATAATTGTGTATATTGTAGATAACTAAACTAAATACCTGGGCTTTATTCTTAACAGAAATATTAATTGACATATAATAAATAACGTGTATGTTATATTTATATGTTTATACAATATAAATAATATATAACAAAAATAATAAAATAATAAAATACTATAAGTATGTGATGTATGTGACATAGCGAAAAACATTTCTCGCTACTGTTTGTTATCCAACATTGTCTAGGATAATAAAATTGAAATTAATAGGTGCAATAGTAATTGTAGTAGAATTCGCACTAATCTGACAGATATAAAACATCTCTGAATAATTCCAGAATCATTAATTCATTTCTTTAATGATTCTTTAACACGTGTGAAGTCCATTCATCTTTAACCCTTAACTGGGGCAGTGAGAACATACTGCGTAACTAGAGCACACGGTTTTCATGAACCGATCTCCCTTCTCATGCTAAAGATAGCAAATATATTAAAAGTAAGTTCACTGCAGGATTCTAAAGAAACTCTTCAAGAGAAACAAATATTTCAAACAAGCAAACGGCTAAATCCATTGAATAAAAAACACAGTTATAGTGCTTTAGCTTCAAGATTCTCTTTGAAAAAGAGGGATTGTGCGGATTCATATCACTGGTTAAAGAGTAATTATTTGAAAAATAAAGTAGCTTTTTCTTCAGAGAATTTTCAAAGAACTCAGTTAAAAAAAAATTACTCCCTTCAGTACAAAATAAGACTGAATTATAATAATGATAGAGAAAACGCGTAAAGAAATAATAAACTCTGTAAACTAGATATGGAAACTAAATATGAAAAAACATGTATGAAATCGTGCTCTTTTTTATCACGCAAATGATAAAAAAGAGAATAATTTTTAAGAATCATCTGTCATAATTGTTCACGTAAATATTTATCAAATTTGCTGCACGGGACGCAATCATGCGTGTATCTCAATCGCTTCTGTGCGGAATACACAAGGACTCGTGATATTCGCGTCGATTCGAGCTTCTCGTTCTCACAAGCTACTTCACTCGTTGTAGAGCGGTCGAATCTCTCAAGTGGCACTTACTGTCGTCAAAGCCACGTGTCGCCCGTCAAATCTGGTATGTAGTGCACAGCATATGTTTCAAAATGTAATAAAAATGTCCTCGATAAATATTTTCCACAGGCGGAAACGATTTTCGGAGCTGCATAGAGTGGCACGGACTTCACGTAAAAATATTTCGATAACACTGCTATCACAATGGTCGCGCCGACGTTTTCGTCTGCGAGAAAATCTATTCTTTGGGATATTACTTAAATTCATTCAAGAATAAAATAAATATTTTGAAAAAATATAAATTTCTGTATAACAAAGTTAAAACTTCACTTTCCAGAATTCGTTCAATGTTTAAAGAAAATAAAATTCATTAAAATTAAGATTTGACAAAATATTGATTTTATGTTATTTCTCATCAATTCGATTGATCTCGTATAATTTGATCTCGTATACAATAATTAAGTACATTATTCGAATTGCTATAAAAGAAGGAACTTACCGGCAAAAACCGCTGTGCTATTGTGCCGCGGATCGTAAGGACAGAGTCCTAAACCATCCATGTCGCTCTGTTTCACGTACGCTCCATCCTGAAATACAAACAAGAAGTTTTGAATTATAACATTTTTGCATATCATATATAATACCTAAAAATGTACAATTTTTAACAACTTTTTAAACCAATTTTTTTCATACAAAAAGTATAGTTCAATTCAGTAATTTGAGGTCGTGAAGATAAATGAATCACTGTAGACATGAAGAGTATCACAACTGCAAAAAAAAATGGAATTTAATGTCAGTCACGCTATTTCCCGGAAACATGAGACGCGAGGAACAGCTCGAAACTTCCTATCAGGAAATTGATTTTTCTTACGCAACATAGCTTCCTATGGAAATATTCATTCGCATTTATTCGTCTGTAGATGTACGTTATATGCATCTAATGTGTATATAAGTAGGCAATGGTATAGTATCAATATGTTAATAACGTAATAACTAATTCCAATCATAATTACTGTACGCATATTTTTTTAACTTGTATATTAACAGATAATCGAAATATTACAATGTAATTTATCTTGTTGTATCGGCCAGACTTTTGACCGTTTGGTGAAATGACAGTCGACATGATAATAAAATAATTATATCCAATCAATTATGAGCGTGACCTATATGTTTTATCGAACAATGGCCATGCAATGATTACGATTGATTGACAATTTTAATTCTTTTTCCCCTCCTACTGGTATTTCTTAATTGTTACGTGTGAGTTACGTAATGAAAAATTTAATTTCGATCAAATATAAACTCGCAGCAGTCAATTTATAAATATACTTGTTAATTTCAATACTTGTTTAAAGAAACGAATATTTAATAATAAAATTAACAATATAACTAATCAGATTTGTTATACAATAACACAGTCACCTCTTAATTACTCACAGGACCAGGATTGACACTCTCTTCATTTATTGTTGCCGCAGGTGTAATATGTTGTTTAATATTATTTTCATACATGTTCGATATTGATTTTAGTGTATATGACGAACTCTTCGTTCAGAGTGAAAATATCGATATCGTGATTTACCGCGAATATAATAATATTTCTCTCTTTGATTGATATACCAATTTATGTTTACCATATTCGTCGTACGCAATATATTTTTGGATATCATCTTTCTGCTATGACAAATGTTGAAGCATTATGACGATACGTTATCCTTATTCAATCCTGCAAAGAAATCCAAGTTACGTAATTCGGGAACTACGATTGTTTCCGATCTGGAGATAGAGTAATAGTGATGGAGTAATAGAATTATTAACGTCGCCGTATCGATACAAAAAAGCCCGAAATCTCGTATTCGTCGTTCGTACTTGTCTCGCTGTACTGGCACTGTGATTGAGTTTGCTCGCGACCTACAGGTTTTACGAACGGTTCGCATCTAGAGCGAAATTTGTGGTACGATAAACTGACTCAATAGAAGATTGGAAAGCGAGTAGGACATGCCAGGGATCTGCGCGTTGGTTGTTTAGATTCTTTTATCTTGTCTCTGCTGTCTAATTTTTTCTTTTATAGAGTATGGAATAGAAATAAAACATTGCATGTGTGTGTGTGTGTGTGTGTTTAATCGTCGGAAAAATATAAAATCAACTTTTCAGAAATAATTCTCAAATACAATTTTTTATTAACATTTTGATAATTTTAAATTAATGATTAAAAATTTATTAATTTAAAGTTTATCTGATAAAACTAGTCACGAAATACTTTGTGTACGACTACTATATGTAAATTGTTATTATATAATAAAACAATTTCGAAATAGATTTAACACACTGAAAGACAATCAAGAAAATTTATAAGCATATAATTTATTTAATCTCGTTTTTAAATAATAATCAGTTTCTTATCTAATAATTTTTTGCTGATGTAATAAATTCTGCTAAATTAATCAATAACAAATTCCAACAAATAATTTTATATCTTAAGTAATGATATTGCATTACTATCTAAATAAAGCATTGTTCGTGTTCGATTAAAATCTATCGTCGAAGATAAATCAAGAAAGAGAAGAGGCAGTTATATAAATTTGCATAAAAATTATTTGGAAGATTATGTATGTTACTTTTACATCTTTGAAGTAATTTCCTATTCTTCCCATGAAGTTAGAACAGAAATAATTCTAATATATCGTATTTGCTAAACTACATCAGAATCGTTTTTCGTAAAAAGATATACAATATTAGATTGAGAATTTTGCAATTGTCCGATAAAGGGCAGTTTCTGCTTGCACACGTGTTTCGCGGTATGAATGCCTGTCATTGAACTGTAATGACATCGTTTCGAGTCGTTGTTCATTGTACTGTATTCGCCGTATTCGCAAACGTGTACAGACATCGAAAAAAAAATATCGGTAAATCCGCTTGGCGCACCGTAAGACAATTAAAAAAGTTGCAAGCGAGACCACTGCGGCCGGCCACAGTAATATACCGAATACGCGAACAGTGTCGCAACTCGTGCATGTATGCAACAATGCATGTAAAGAAATTGAAACGTGGCAGGGCTATTCGACACAAACGGCTATTCGATGCACTGCAGCCCGCAGTTGGGTATTCCGAGACGCTGGTTGAGTCTCACGTACTTTCTAGGATCCTTTATATTTCTTTCGTTCGTTTCTTCTCGGATCTTTTCTTCTTTCTAGTCTCCTTCTTTTTCTTTCTGTTCTCCTTGCTTGCCACGTATCCTCGTTTCATCTATTCTCATCTACTGGCAAGCCGTATCGTAACAAGGCCAAGAGAGAGATAAACAGAGGCGTGCAATAACTACTATTTTCAATCTATATATTTTTTCTAGTTTATTTAATATCATTTAAAATTAATTTCTGCAATAGATTGATTTCTCTATAAAACTCCATCAATATATACAATAAAAAATTAATTTAGACGATATTGGTATTTATTCATATACCATTAAAATTTAACAATTTATTTATCCTATATATATTAATTTAATTATTTTTTTAGATTGAAAAAAAAATTTTCCAATTTATTTTTAATTATTTATATTATAGAATAGAATTTATATTCGCACGTATATACATATATTTTTTATTAAAAATAATCTTTTACACAAATTTGTCAAAATCTTTGACACTCCTAATATAATACCTCATAATATGTATAACAATGTATTTGTTTTCAGTGTTTTAATATCAAAGTTTACCGCGAAATAATTCAAGGCATTGCTGTAAATTTTGCGAGAAAACAATTGCGAGGCGCCGCAGGAGACAATAACGAAGACGTAGGCGTGTTCACACTTAAAATATATGATAACAGCCTGATTTGTAGCATGTAAGAAAGTTTCATTATAAGTTATTTCGTACCATCCTTCTTCGAATATGCGACAATCATGACACTAATATAAATACATAGTTAGAATATAAAAACGGAAAAAAAATTCAATTAAAAGTCCCATTTTAGTTGAAAAGAACTGTGCTTTTTGCAAAAACTAATAGATTCATTTACCATCAATTTAAATTCAATTTTAGAATCTTATTACAGAATGCGGAATTAGATACTAGTAAATTGTTTTATTATTATTAACTTACAATTGATTATAATAATATATCGATATTATCTGATATCTATATTAAATTACAGTGCAGCTGTTAGTACGGACAAATACTATCAAAGGTAGGAATACTGAATGTGACAGGATTATTCTGCACATATGAGCATGCACATAACGCGCTCTAATCTCGTTCGATGGAGCTATAACCGCCCATAAGTAGATGTAATTACAACGTTCAATGAAATTTAATTATAACTTAATCTCTTAAAAATTAATGTTACGTAAATCATCGTTTTGTTTGTAGCACTTTTAATTAGTTGCAATAATAAAATGAATAATCTATTATTTTTCCCTTTCTATGATATCTTCAAAGCTATATGTATATATTTAATATAACATAAAAAAAAATTTACAATAATTAAATATTCGGTATCTATGATTCTTCTTTCAGTTTTTATAAAAAATGCTAACTTATTAATTACATCTCGTTTCACGAGCTGAACAATATTAGCCAGCTGCGTGACCTTTATGAAATCAAACAAATTAAATGTGCTTCTTATCGTAATGTACAAGAAAGATGTACACTTTCGCGGTGTGCGTATATAATCTGGCGATATAATCATACTCATTAATTACTTGCTGGTTTACACGGTGAGGTTTTCCGTTGTAAATTTCGTGAGATATTGCTGTAATTGCGAAACACCGCGGGGAACGACCGCGAGTTTCATCTTCGCACATTCGGCCTGTCGCGATATAATTTGCACAAAGTTCGAAAACTTTCGAGTGTAAACTGCACGGTCCTCGCCTCCCACCGACATTGTTTCGCAACGATCACGACACAATGCCATGCGCTCCTGCGTGACAATGTACCGTTCACCGTCCCATCGTCCGGATTATCGCAATCGTAGTGGAAGTTATGTGCTGCACGTTTAATACATCGATACAGGTGTAAATAGGCGAACCAGTAAGCAAACAGAGAGATAACTAGGTTTATGCATGTGTTATCTTTATTTTGGTTTATCCTTTACATATTTATTCGTTCATTCATGTAATCGCTGATACAGATCTTAATATGTATATAAATAAAAAAAAGTTTATTTTATTTTATTTCATTTGCGAGAAAATTATGTTTAAAAATCAGAAAATTAATGCTCTTTGTCTTCTTTAAAATTAAATAATAGTTTCTAATTTATCATTTGCGATTTATTTACAGACATGTGTGGATATTGCAGTTCAATAAAAACAAATTTATCTCTGTTTTAGATCAGAAAATTTTGCTTTATTAAACAAAAATAAAAAGTTACCCACAGAAATTTAGTCTCATTAAGGAGAATTAAATATATAATTGTAAAATTTTATTTTTATACATATTTTTACATCAATCTTTTTTTCTCTTTTTCATATAAAGGTGTATATTTATATTATATACAGGTACATAATTATATAATTATGAGAGTGGAAATTATTGAAGAATAAATGGTATTTTATAAATAAAAACAGAAAATGTCTTGATATAAAAAA